TTTGATTTATTACACGAGCAATATCTTGGTAAATAGAAAAGATAAGAGGTTTTTATTTTACATTCCAGCTTGTCAATATCGGTAATTTGAGTTCCTAATTCGTATGAAACTATAGATGTAATATTTTGACATTACAAATATCTAATTTGAATCAGTGCTTCATTCAGTATACCACTTGATGCACAAAAATCGATGTTTAAGTGTTTTTTTTATATTTACTTTTAAATTAAGATATTGAGTAATGTATAATACTAAAATATGAATTATAATCTACAGTTTGATACCAAACTTACTGACATAAATTCATGAAGTAGTAGTTCAATAAAATTTTGAATGCGAGTCAACAAACGTGATGACATGGCCTTTGACCTGTGACCCGTGTGGAGAGGGTTACTAGTACAGAAATACAAAGAGCAAGCACTTAGTAAACACAACAACACAGTGCCAAAATGTCAGGTGTTTGATGACAAAAAAAAAATCACTAAAACCTGAAAATATGCAAGTTATCAACATTGAATTTTCATTTTTTTAATGAAACCAAAAGCTTATCTGGAGCACCAGATAAGAAAATTAGAGTTATTAGAGTGAAAATTATAGCTTATATATCACTTATGATGAGAGGGATTTCAAGTTACTGGAGAATTAGAAATGACAGAATGATAGGAACAAATGGAATTATTCCTTCGAAGATAGCTGCTGATTTTCTAGTGTTTTTACTTCTAGCTTTATCTTTAAGGAAATGCTTTATGCCTAGTTTCTGAAAGTAAAATTGCTTTTATTATTATTGTTCATAACACTGATTATTAACATTAATTTTAAAAATAAATCATTATGCTCAACAATATTTTCTTCTTGTTAGTTGAATTAATAAAAATGTAGGAGGAGGCTTTTTTTTTTTTAACCTTCATAAATGTTAATTACCCATAAGTATCCAAAAGCGTTTGCTTCTTGAACCATGCTGTAGCTCTCTGACAGGCCCCATACTTTTTCTCTCTCTAAAGTGTCTGCACCTATTGAGATTAGTTTTTGTGATCCATGGCTGAGGAATATTATAAAATTCACAATAATGCACTAAAATAATTTATTATGCAATTTTATTTGGTTTTTATAATAATGGGTAAATCTAAATATGTCTGAATAAAGTTAATTTATTCCTTTCAGAAGAGCAAAGCCAAGCAACAAGAAATGCTTCAAAATCTACATGATTCCATGTTTACCTAGTGGAACTGGCATTCTATGGATTAAACTTCACTAAATAACGGGTGACTAAATGTGTAAAATAACTTTTAATAAAAAATCTTCACATAGAAATGGGTATAATACTAAGCCTTCCTGTTTACCTCTACAATTACAAGAAAGCGATAATAGCCACTATTATTTTTGTTAATATTTTTATTGTTAATATTGCATTTCCTTGTAAAAATTTGATAATATTTTGTGTAGGCGTGATATTCATATCAGAGGTCTCTGAAAACGTAGAAAATAAGTAAATAACATTAAGTCAGAAGAGTATTCAGAAGCCACATTATAATATGACCATGATTAGTACACAACAAACCATCTAAGCATCCTGTGGAGAGGAAAAACTCCATTTACGGCATCCTTGTGAATATGGGATCCAATATATTGGAGAAACAAAAAGACCAATATATAGTCATACAAGATTTCGTAATACCAATCTACCTGCAATAGTCTATCTGCCAAAGATGAAGACCATATAAAGAACTAGAATAACACTAAAATAGTTGAATATGAATCACACATGAGAAAAAGAAAGGAAAAAGCCTTCTACATCCACCTAAGACTTCTAAGTGATAAAGATCACCCTAGCATAAAAGAAGTCAACAAAACTTGGATACCCTTTCAAAAACATTCATGTACTTAATTTATTCAAGCTCCAATTGGGAAACTACAGTCAAGTTGATAACACACCAGACTTCCATCGAGAAGACCTAGGATTGAATTCTGGCCACTGCCACTCCAGAAAATGGTCCTTCTCAGGACTTCCCTGAAGATAGCTGCAGATTAGCAGTTGAAACATAGGATAAAAACTAGTAAGTAATTAGTATCTAATTATCTAAAAAAATTAGATATATGTTAATAATTAGACTTGATAATCATGTATGTTACTAACCACGAAAACAGACCTATCATTTAGTTCAACAGTAATCTCATGATGTCTCCTTACGTTACTTAATGTCATACTTAATTTTAAATACAAAATTGTATCACATTAAGTGTAATAAATATGAATAATATTTGTCCTACAAAATTTTCATCAACCATGTTTACTTTAAACAAAAAAAAGATTTATCACAACACTTGCTTACAATAAGTTACATTAAACTATAAACACACACATTCTAATCCTAATAATAGTATACCACTAGAGGAATGCCTAATATGGTGACTTGTCATTATTTGTAGATGAGTAAAACAATACCACACAACATCAGTTAAGAAGGGAAATACTTAATGTGCAGTTGTAACTGTAAGTACTTACTTGAGATCAAGGAAATAGTACTTGATAAAAGTGGAAAGTACTTAATATGCTGGTTGTAGGCATTGCTTAAAGACCAGTGAAATAATACAAAACTACATAGGAGGATGAGAGGAGTATATATGTACTGACTGTAATCACTGCTTAGAGACCATTGAGGCAAACAATACAAGATAACCTTACTAATACTTAAGGGAAGGTTAAACCTGAAGGGCTGTTTCTCAAAAACATGAATTATATAGAAGCTCTTGAGCTTCAGTGCAGAAAGGTTTGAGGATTAATACTTGTATGTATCAAAGATAAGGTCAATTTAATAGAACAGAACAATACTGTGCATATTCTTTATTAATACACAGCAGAATAAACACTGTGTATGAAAACCAAGAGTAATTTATTACAAGAATAAAAATATTGCAAAAAAATTTGCATTGCATTGAAATCAATAGTACAGAGTGCATTCAGCTAAAATTTGCTATAATCTTACTTTGGTAAAATAAAACTTGTGTGATCTGTCAACTTGTGTCTATTTTGTCCTAATTTATGAAGGAAATAGCCCTACTTTTCTATCATATTGTGCTGGGAGGTTTGTGGATTCTTTTTGAAATCACATTGTGCACTTTCAACAGTTTATTTTCACTACTTATAAACTTTCTTCAGTAAATATTCATAATCAGAGGTAGCAAAGCAGAACTTCTCATCTGATTCTTTAATTGGATAAATTATATCTCAACATTTTAAACCTATAAAATTTAATATAAATATACATTAAAGGAATGGCTTGTGAGATGCAACTATAGTAACAGAAATCAGTTTACAATGTCTGTTAATTAAGGTTTAGTAAACAAATTTAATTTTTGTAATTAAAACATTGTTAGTTACATCCAGCTGATTGAACCATTCACAGTTTCATTGATGTTCAAACATCCCAAGAATGTTTAGTACCTGGATTCTATGGAAAATGTCTAGATAGTTTATACTATTTTTTCAATAAATAAGAATCGGGAAGTGACTCAGAATATAAATTTTTTAACTATTTAACCAATCTAAGTGTCATTACAATGCTACTAACTTTTTTCTAGTTTTGACCTCAAATGTAGATATTACTTGATTCAATATGCAAATTAATTTAGAAATAGTATTGCCATGAAAATCTTGAAAGAGTATGCTTGTTCCTAGGTATCTTTTACCTACTGAAGAAAACTTCCTAGTGAAGAACTTGATAAAAGAGCTGTTAATGAGTATTATTACAATAACTGTATTACAGGAAAAGTTCATGTAAGCCAAACTTCTACTCCATATCCTAGCACTGTGAATAAATAGTTCAGGTGTTATGCAATTTTCTGAATTAAAATACTAAATTCTTTATCAAATAAATTATAGGATGCTTACTCACAAAGGATTTTTAATTTATATATAAATCTGTATTACTTTTTTATGCTAGATAAAGTACTAAAAATTTTATATAAAGTGGGAAATGTGCCTACGTGAAAGGGGGGAAAATGTATGAATTATCTGTTATATGTATTTTGCAGTTAACACTGTACAGTCATTAGGTGAAAAACATTTTGGTTTAATTTTTATATGGTATTTATAGACTTAATCTTTGGATGCCACTAGCTGTCTGTTTCTGTAGAAACTTGGTTCAAATCATGATGTTGCAATTCTTTATGATGTATAAAGAAAAGGATGTTGAAGACATCCAAAGTCAGATGCAAAAACATGATGTTGTGATTTTAGAGATGTGCTCGAGTTTATGCATGACCTTGGATTCAAACAGATGTCATGTTTCCTCCCTCAAGGATTCAGCCAAAACATAACTGAAGAATACAACCTAATAAGTTTGTTTAGTAAAGTACATTGAGTAGTCAAGGTAGTCAGTGGCTACAACATGCAATAGAAGTGACTTGATATGGTCTTCACTAACTAACATATTCCTTTTGTAGGTGGTTGTGTGAATTGTTAGTACCCTTTCCAACTCTTATCCTAATCTTGTGCAAAATACAAATGACTACTGTAGAAGAACAAATTCTTTCAGTCTCCAAACTGCCTCTCAAACTAACTCAATGATTAGCTCAAATAAAGTTATTATGGAAAATGATGGAAACAAGTGATGCATCTTTAGACTTTCCAGAACTGGCTGAAGATAACATTTGTCTCCTACATTGAGCATGTTTTTTTGTAGAGAACATGTATGGTGTTTGGACCAGCAAGGAAAATGGTTGTGAAAAAATCCATTCATAGCATGTACATATCTAGTAAAAAGTATTGCATATAGAAAGAGTATTCTGTTAGTTCTGATCCACCTATTTCAGCATAGTACTGTCAGTGCAGGCCTGGTGCAAGAATTGTAGGATGCTGTACTCACAGAGCATCAATCACAGTGAAAGGCAGTAGGAGTTGAGACGTTGTGGGTGTAAGTACTCAACTCCATATCTTTAATTGATTTTCCATGCTTGCTGGCTAGCTCAACATCAACATTTGGATTTTGTCTGGTAGATGGGATATCGCCAACACAATTAGGAGCTATTACCACAGGCATTATCTGTTATGACTGAGATTAACAATGGATTTTGCTAAAAACTTCTTAATGCTTATTTTATATATATAAAGAAAATATGGATTTTTTTTTTAGGTGGTAAATCTTTTTAATGTCCTACATGATGGAGAAGAGGGCCCAAATAAAAACTTCAACTTTAATCCACTATCACTAGTGTCTGTATCCAAGATAAATGGTCAGTAATTTGAAGAATAAGCAAATATTAGCACCCTCACAAAGATGTATTCTTGTGACAGGAATGCCTGTGGAACAGCATCAGTTCATCTGAAATATAAATCAGTGCAGTAAGAAAGCTGTGCAGCTATCTTAAGAAGTTGGTCACAAATCATATGTAACATGATGCAAAGAATCTGGAGTTCTTTCTTTGTCATAGGCTGGGACCAGCACTTAGCTCTGCAGTGCAACCCTCACAACATCTGGGACCACTTAAATATACACTTTCATGATTTCAGTTACGTTAGTTGCTCAAAAGTGACCAACACAGGCCAAATTATATGACAGAAAAAAACAGTTTTATGTCCACTCCCAGTCTTAGTTGCCAAACATAAAGGCCTAAAGTACTGAATCATTGAGATCTTTATCAGTCACCGTGAGCCAGATCTAATGTATTTAACAAATGGGAATCTTTCAGAACATCAATGCATATTACCAAGTTTATGCATCTAAAATTACTACAGAACTTTGAATTTCCTTCCTTCATTCTGAAGACAACTAAGCACTCTCAAAAATTTTATTTCCCCACTAATTATATTATCTAATAGTGCTGCAAGGAAGCCTGTGCCTCATTTGTTTTACCAAATGCAAGTCATCTGCATCTGTGCAATGGTTTGTGATGGTTGTCTGACCCAATTGATCCATCTGTCCTACAAGCACAAAAAACTTTAGCACTTCACTTAGGTTGTGTCTGCTTCCAGTTCAGTATATTTGCAAATTAGCACAATTCTCAACTACAGATCTCGGGTGCTCTAAAAATGTGTATTTCTTCACAGCTATTTAGCTTGTTGACATTACTTCTGCCTCCATTATCATGTGAATGGTCAGTCTAGTTGTGAGCTGAAAAGCAAAATGCCCATAGTACCAGATTATCAACAGTACAACTTGGAAAGAGAAATGTTTGAAGCAAATCTGGCCTGCTTTCCAGACAGAAAAAAGCATCACCACAGTAAATGATTATAATGCAATAGACTGGAGTCATAGAACACTACAGAATTTCATCTGTACATTAATTGGTGTCACTACCTCCTTTTCAACATATATGTGTGCAACTTACTGTTCTTGGGCCAGAACTGGTTGATGATGGATAGTTTTTGCTGTTGAACTGCAGTTCACCTATTTCATGAGCAAAAGTCTCTGTAGTAGGCACATCCCTAAGATACCAACAGTTGAACTGAGATCATAGACAACTTTCTTCACTCAATTAACAGTATTGCAAGGAACAAAATGGAGGTGTGCCTTTTAACTCGTGTCTAGCTTGTCTCCATTGCTCCTTCTAAATCTTTGGTCGTCTGGGAGCATTATCGGTTAGGTGGATGAGAGCTTGTTTTAACCCATGTGTGGTATGTTATATGAATATAATTCCATCTTAACTTTTCTCTATTGGCTATTGTAGATAAATTGATTACTGAGTATTGTTTGTGTATTATGTTCCTGAATTCTAACTTGTATTAGTTTTTTTGTTTCTAAGACACTGACATTAAAAGACCAACTGCTACAGTGGAGTAAAATAATATTTTATTTGTATAATGTTTCATTCATCTATGTGACAATTACCCAAATTAATGGACTCTGAGGCTTGTACTTGGTTTAAATATCCAATAATTAGGATAATGAACACTTGGTGGTACTATGAATATAGTGTAAAAAACATTATAATAGATAAAACAATGAATACAAAATAAACATGAAAGAATATTAACTAGTTTAAATATATTGAACAACTGATCTATTTATTAATTGATGGATGTAGTTCCTTAATACAAAGATTTGAATTTTCCTAACAGCCTAACTAAGAGCTTATTGGGTAATAACTTATGTGAGACAAAATATTTTTTTTTTTATACACCTCTGATTTTGAGTTAGAACTGACCAATAAGTTTTATTCGGTGATTGATGAATTACTTGTTTTCTGTGATTTCATCAACTTCAGTACATTTCAGAAATTATGCTCATTAGTAGCCACAAATCATCATTAGTATAATTAAGGATTCTGCTGCCAGTGATCCTATTCTAAAAACAGCAAACAAGTGGGTGTCTAATTGTTGGATAATAATTGTTGTACACAGATGTCTCTAGCTATAATTTATAAATGTAATTTAAGCATTGTTTTTTTTTCTTTACTTGTGTCAATAACTGGAATTATAACAATATAAGGTAAACCTTGTTCCTTATCTTTAAGCTCATTAATCATTATTGTTTTAAGTTTAACTGATGATGAGTAGCAAGTATCAACTTGTAATATAATACAGGTGTAAACAATTATGGGAATAATTCATTACTGGTCATTTACTAGCTTGTGACATTACATCATTGGTGAAAGGTTAGCATATTTTAATTGTCAAATATCAGTGAAAATGACTATGAAGAATTTTTATTAAAAATGCACTATCTGTTTGTACTTATTAATTTAATTACTTAAGTAAAATGGTGGTTTTCAGTATTCCGAGGTGCATATCTTGTCAAAATTGACCCAACCATTTATCAGAAAATGTCTGTGGATATTAATTTGATCGTTTATTAGTCTTCTTTTCAAGTAGTGCACTTATGGTTGCACATGCTCAATGACACTGCTGAGATCCATGAGAAGTATGGATCACAATAAAAATATTTACAAAAAAACAAAACTACTACTTTATTAAAATGCACAAATGAAAATAATAAAAAGTTACATTAACAATAAAAATTTGGAAGTTGATTCATATTTATTATATACTCTAGTGGCTCAACATTAAGTCTAAGAGCTTATGGTGCTAAAAATCAGGTTTTAATTCCCATGGTGGGCACAGCAGATAGCACATTATGTAGCATTGTACTTCACAACAAAAAGAAAAAACAAATAATATACTATGTGTACAAAAAAAAACTAATGAAAATTATGGACCATTTTCTTCTCTGTACTGTGCACCTTATCCTTGTAAACGTCAATTGCTTTTGCAACAGTAATAATCTATGCTAATTTCAAATGAACTACGTGGATCAATTTGAACTTGCTGATGACAAAATTGAGGAATGAAAAGGAAAAATTTATACATTTTTAATAATAATACAAACATGAATGGGTTTGGATCATTTAACAGTTTAAAGGTAAGAATTATATTTCTGTTTATTGTTCTACACTGATAATATGTTACACTATTCTAACAGCTAGTCTATATTGTTCGTCAAACTTAATGGCACCTGTATTTAAATTGGATTAAATGAAGGTAAGTTTTAATCAGTAAACATTGCATGGTAACATATAAAACTGATACCATTAGTTTGATAAACTTCAAGGATTTTCCTGTGTTTCAACCCTTTTAGTTTTATGATTTCATTTTTGACTACAGGGTTAGTGCGTAAAAGCTTGTTAAAAAATTGGGTTATTTGAAAAATGTAAGCTGCGGTGGCTGTGTATTATTTACCAGTTCAATTTTAATGTAGTTTTCAAAAATTCAAAATGTGGATCAGTTTTCATAACTCATTTTTTTTTCTCTAAGTTGTAAGATTAAAACATTGATTTTGTTAGAAAAGTGAAATATTGGTGCAACTTGAAATTATTTTCTTTATTTTTATTAAAAGCTCTCCTTGGGAACATTTGAGATAGGGAAGTAACAGGTAAAGTTTTAATTTAGAAAAATATACTAATATTCTTGTGTAAGTTTTATAGATTGTTTTCTTCCCTGTAAGCAAAGTCACATAATGAGCACAAGTGAGCTTATAATATTGGATTGTAAAATCAGTGCTATTTATTACAATGATAACATCACTTGGAGATCTTAGCAAGTTTCCCAAGGGCTATGCCTTACTAGCTTGGTGCTCCATTTTTATTAGTATTTTTCTGTGACCTAGATACAGGTTGGTATCAGATTAGCCTTCAAGTCTTTTGAAGGTTTTACCCACATTCTTTACAAAACACCTGTCTCCAATTTTGTGATGACATTTGAGGAGTTTGTCAGGGTCTTGTTATGTTACGATCTCCACTGTTACTGGTTCACCAGACAAGTGCATCCTTATATATTTCATGCTCACTTTTTACCACTAACCAATTCAAATGCTAAATGCCCATCTCTTCATATAGCTCTGGACCATACAGTCACATATTTCCTGACTGAAACATCCACTGTCATGATCAGTGTCATTTTGTGCTCATATATATCCATTCAATGACTTTGACTGTGGTTATTACCATGTGTCAACAGTAATAGTTTCTGTAGATGCTACAACTAAAATCTGTATCAATTTAGCAAAGTGCAGTGGATAGCACACACTGATTGATTATCCTCTCTATGTTGAGTGACCATGGTGGTATGTGACAGCTACAAATCAAACTATGAAAGCAATGAATAATCAGTAGAATGTTACTCCCAATATTGTTAATAAAAGACCATGAGTAACCATTAGCAACTAACACCATATAATAGCACTGTTCAACCTTGCCTTAGGTATTATGTTCTTACATCATTATGATTACCAGGTTACCAAATTTCCAAAAATCATAATAACAGAATTATTCATCCTGACTTTAATATCCATAATGTGGGTGTGTTTTTGCTCAATATGTGACTGTTAGCAGGAAGAGAAAAAAAAACGTATAAAACACGAGTATTATTATTATTATTTTTCTAAATGCAAACTTTTAGGCTACTAACCATAAAAACATTTTAGTTTTCCCTCATCCATAACTCCACAGTTATAAATAGCATATCTATGTTGAGAGCTCTTTAAAAAAGAAAAGTAATTTTAGGTTGCACTAGTGTTTACATTTTCTGGATAATACAAAAATTTTTAAAATGGTAATTTCCGACCACTGTGTAAATTTTCTAATTTAATGAAAGGGAAAAAAACAACAATTAACTATAAAACGTTTAATCATATTTTAAATTCAAAGTTTTTCAAAATCAAATTTAAAATTGAACTGATAAACAATAAACTTGCACTTTAGGACACTATCTTTACTTTTAACTTAATTACTAAGATCAAAGGAATAAATTATAATTAGCATTTTGACCCAGTAGTCTTCTCTTTCCATAAGTCTAGCAAATAAACTGTTTAGCCTTCATACTCTATGACTTGAAAACCTTCAAATGTGTGTTCTTTAGAGTCAGTGATGATAGAGAAAATTGGAACATATATTTCAGTAGAAGCCCTGTAACCATTCAGTTGATAACTTTCACCTATACATATAAGTCTTCATTGTCTACATCTAATTATGTATGGAAGATGTTCAGTACTGTAGTGTAATTCTCAGTGACCATTTTCCAGTACAGTAAATGTTTTTTGTGATACTACACGTGTTACACATTTACATAACTAGTAGTTTCTAAGAAAACATTTCCTGACCATTGAATAATATGATGTGAATGAGAACAGATATAAGCATGAAGACCAACCATCAGAAACAATTTCATTTCAGACCATGGGTTACCATTACTAATATGATTACTGGGTTCTGCTAACATACTTTTAAAAGTCATCACAATATCTTAAGAACTGCACAAAACCCTATGTGATGGTTACATACATACTAACATTCTTGAATTTATTTAAGAATTTTACTTATGCTCTTAAAAATTTGAGGGCAACATGATAAGTAAACATTTTATTAAAACTCACTATGCATAGGACTTATTAATTTTCTAGTAATGGTAATTTGTGGAATATTTGTGTATATTCAGAGACAAATTATAAAAATAACAAATTTCTAAATATTTTCCTAAAAATACAAACACATGAGTTACTTCTAAACCCTTTTTTTTTTTCAATAAGGTCACTTCATTGGCTATTGGTGATTTATATATATTTATATCGCATCCCTTAAACACAATTGTTATTAAATTTATTTTAAAATAAAAAAACAGCAAATACAAACCCTCAGGTAAGTTAAATTGTTAAAGAATTAAGTAGACAACTCTCCACTCTTTCAGTTAATACGATAGTTTACCATAGACTTTACACTCCTAGGTAAACCACAAATACAAAATATAACTACACATTATAACATTATAAGAAGAGGCAGTGAGTATTAGTTCCCTGATTCAGGTGTTTAACCATAATTGTTTCAGTTTTCTCACACCAGTTTAAATACTTGCAGACAATATGGCTTGATTTAAAGAATGAAATATAACAAATTATTTCCATTTGTTTCTTTAAATTATAAATCTCAAATTTATGATTTGAACTCTTCAGGAAATATAACATGTTCTGGAAGTTGACAGCCTGGCTGTTTTAAAATCTCACTTGCTGCAAAGATTCCACATCTCACACAAACTTCAATCGACTTTCCTTTAAGATACTGTGCAAGAAATCCTAGAATTATAAATTTTACATTAATAAAACTTATAAACAACTACATATTGTGCAAACAGGCCAGGCTTAAAAATCATAAAAAAACTACTTTAAAGATATTTAAAAACATTCCAACCAATGAACAGATCCCTGTACATACCGTACTTTATAGTACTCACAACAGAATCTGATATACAACACTATCTTTTGTCACCTGTTTATTAATTTTCACATACACAGTATATGATAATGTAAGCAATGAATTTTTAATTGTTGCATGATGCCAAATAACATTTTAGTAGGTTACTCTTCTTAACACTTTCACTGCCATTAATATTAGTGTAATATTAACCACATGTGAGTTTGGAATTTTAAACCACCATAAAGAAACTTTCCAAAGTTTAGCAGTTTCGAGATTCATGTAAGCAATGAACTATAAAAACGTGTTTTTTTTTTTTTGTTCTTGTGTATCTAAAAATAAACATGACACCAGGAAAGTTGTTTATTTATAAACATGGCAGTTTATTTCAAACCTTATTTACTTTTAAATTTTATTTATTAGAATTCTACAGTAAATTAGCAATTTGTTTTGTATATCCACATGTGGCTTAAATATGTTTTTGGAGGAATGAAACATACATTTTTTTTTTAAATGCCTCTACTCTAAAAAAGAAATCCATTATTTAATTAAAATGAATTACATTTATACTGTGCATCATTTGGTGTTTTCTAGGTTTTTCCTGCACATCCAAATTTTCTTTTCCAGGAAATTATCAATTCCTTTTTAAAGCTCTTTTAAATTGCTTGCCTACAGTACTTCCAATTGCAATGCATTCTATAAGCCAATCATCCTTTTAGAAAAATGTATCTGTCTTAACCAGTGGCTACCCTATCTTTTCCAACTCTTAAACTTGTGTCATACTGTCTTCAGAATATACACAAAGAACTTAGATGCCTTTATCTTATCAAGTCCCCAGATCATCTATAGACTTTAATAAGGTCACCTCTTGATATGGAAAAAAAAAGGGGTACATTAATAAAACTTTAACAGCCTATCCCATAATTATCCTATTAGATCTCATCTGAACCCTTTCCAATAAGTCATTATTAATGTTGTGAATATTAAGGCAAAATATTTGTAAAAAAAATAATTTTTCTCTGATGTATTTCATTGATAATCATTCAGAATTAAGCTGACTGAAAGACTTACCGCCAACAAATGCATCTCCTGCTCCATTTGTGTCAACAATGTCTTCATTTTTCAGTTGATTTACTGGATATTTTGTGACTTTACTTTCTGCAAGTATATCATTGAAATTATGCAACGTTTTTCTTGATCACAAACATTTGACAAAATCAGCTTCAAAATTACAAAGAGACTGACCAGGTAGAAGGAATGATTTCTTCTTATATATTTCTGAGATAAAAGGTATGCTTTTCAGAATGTTAAAGCCATGTTTAAGAGACTTAAGAGTATAATGTGAAATGTGTAGATATCTATAAAACAAGTACCACAAAGCATAAAACATAAATTCATACAAAAAATTAAAAAAGATCACATATAGCTACCTTTCAATGTTTAAGTTAAGAAATTCCTAACAACAATGGAGGGCTGAGCTAAGCTACATTGTGCACATGTCCATCTTTTTATAATCAACATACCTTAGCTTATTAACATATATTTAAGCTGCATTGACATTTTTAGTTTCAGAGCATGTACAAGCTGAAGGTATTGCATACTTTTATGTAAGTCTGGCCTTGTTGATGGAAAAATGTACAGTAGAAAATTCATGATACCAAGATTACAGGTTAAACCCAAGTGGAAATATATATAACTATTCTTGTAAAAGCTTTCAGATAGTATGAATTTTCATTAAACCACGTGTTTTGCTTACTTGCTATTAGAAAACAATAAATTAATAAACAATTGAGCTGCATAATCTTTCATACAGAAAAAATGAAAAAGGTCTTTCAAAAATTATAGTATATTTTTACAAAGCTGTACTTTTGTGCAGTTTTGAATAGTGAAATTATTTGCTTAATAATTACAATAATATTCAACAATATAGACAGAAAGAAAAAAATATCTATATGTTACAAAACTCACTGTTGACAACTATTACAGGGTCAGGTCCTTGTGTGATTACAGTTAGTCTTGGATTATTGTTTGCTTTTGGAAGAGAACAAATCTTCAAACCTATTTCTTCCAGTGATTCAGTCTATAAGAATTTAGGCTAATAAATATTCATTAAGCATGAGAAAAAATCACATTTTTCATATGACATGATAATTATGAAATTTGATTCTTTTTTTTTTAAGTATTCATCATTTAAAAATATTTAACTCTTAAAATTCCTACAGAAATTGATCTAAAAATATGGGTCATTAGTTTGCCTTACAAAATATAGTTAATAAAACTATTCAAAACCACTGTTAAGTTTCAAATTAAGCACAATTGATTTAATTCTAAAAACAGTCAATGTTCTAATTTTTTACAAATACAAAAGTATGAATGTCTAATGTATATGGTACATATCCTAGTCTTCATATATGTTGAAACTTGGAAAATATATGGGATATATTTTAATTTGTATATCTGACTTCTTAAATTAAGTACAACAAATCTCACAATGACAAAATGAATAGGTCTAATTTTATTTCCCTAATTCAAAATAATCTTGTCATTAAAAGTTCACTTTCAGATATTTTGTCATATGGTAAACTAAGACAGACTATTTTGTTAAGTCTGCTTATTTGTATGAAAAAAATTTCTTTATGTACACTAATTAATGATTTTGGAATGTTTAAAATTTGCATTTGTGAACAAGTTAAAATTCAATTCCACTCTATGATATAAATAAATGGTGTGTATATAAAACCTGAAATTAATCTCATTTGCATATCACTTATGCTTTTATAAGATTACATTGAAAGGTTAATTTTTATTTTATTTTCATCTCAGTGTAGAAAAATATCCCCAGTTTTGTGATTTTGCACTTTCAATCGCATTTTGAATACATGGTTAAATGAATGAAACACATTTAACACCAAACATTCGTCACATGATGTCAAGCATAAATATAACTATATCAATGTAAGTTATTGTGCAAACTTTCAAAATTTACAAGTTAAGTTCATATGTTTTCATAAAAAGCAATTGGCAAGGTACACTTAAAGCTACGCCATCAGAAACACAATAAATAAAAGCTTTTCAATTTTACTGTTCTGAAAACATTTTAAAGGATATCTAAAAGAATAATTCATGGTTACCTCAAAATTTTGTTCTTCAGCAAATGCTTTCGTCTCCTAAAAGAAGACATCTCTGATTTAATACCATGGCAAAAGAGTGAATTTTTTTAATAAATATATTTATTACTAGTTTATTTTTGGGGAGAACAAATCACTGGACATATTTTTATAACTAAGTTGTTTGACAAAACAATTACAAGGTCAGGTCTAGACCTGGGTAATTACTGGTATTTTGCTAATTGACTAACCATTGGGCTCATTCAAATACATTTGATTAATGCATGTTCCTACAACTCCCCCTCCTCCTAAAAGGAAAAATAAATGGCTGTGTGCTAACTTAATAACCTTTTAAACCACTGCATTATTCTAACATGGGATTAATCTTTCTATCTTCATTCACTGTTTGTTTTGTTTTTAAGTAATTTTTGAATTATCCTTGATATCCTATGAAAGACCTCTTGTGAAGGTTAGCATTTGTGCATTTTGTGAAAAATGTATTTATTGTTCAAAAAATATTTTGCCAAATAACCTAGACATTTTGTACTTGGTGAACAAATTGCTAATGTCAACTAAACACTATATTTTGGTCATCATTATGTTTGTTTTTAAAATATGCAGCAATCCCATACTTATCTTCTGTAGATCAAATAAATTGATAAGTAAATAATGAAAAGATGTTTACTCATTAATAAAGGTAATAAACATTTTTATTTAAAACATAGCCTGACTGCAATTAAAATAATTAAGTAATCAGTTAACTAACTTATTTATGTATGTTTGAATAGGTTAAACATAAAAATAATATTCAATAAAGATTTGAGTCATCAGAATATTTTGTCATGAACTACCATATTAAAACAGTAAACTTGATTGCAACTCAATAAAACCATAGTATATATATATTAAAAAGTAAAACTTGGTAACTTTAAACAAATAACTAAGCATCAACAAGATACCTTTATTAAGTCTTAAGCAATCTCCAGTGATGTGTCTTAGTAAACTATTTGTACCTGATGATGACAAAACCTTCTACATATATTGTACATTTATTACGGAGTTAAACTTGTAATAAAGTTTTTATGTTACTCATTAAACCCATCTCTAACTTGTATAAGCTTACCTTAGCTCATGTTATATTTGGGATAGGCAGAAAAATTCTTAACCAAATCAGCAAGTGGTTTTTTTTTTTTTACAGGCAGAAATGAAAATATAAACTGTTCTTTCTTCATGAATTGCACTAATTAAATATTAGAAAATGACAAGATATCAATTTTACAAAACTTTTGTGTTAAAATTGTTGAAATAAAGTTAGAATTAACATTAAAAGTGACTGTAAAATTTGTCTTAAAAACTTTATGAAGTGGCAAAAAAATATGAAAAGCCAGATTTAAGGTACAATAATTTATAATTAAGTTACTTTTTCTTTTCATAAATTTTGTACATTAAAATGTATCATAAATGCGATGTAACTGCATTTCGTAATATTTATAAACAATGAAAGATTTATTCACTTAACATTAACCTTTGGTGAAATTGGAAGAAACATCTGTAACATGTATATGTAATCATTAACAGTAACTCATTGTATCAGTACTGTTACAGATTTTCATACTTGTTATTCCAGACAGTTCAGTATTGTTTTACATGTTTATGACAATGATGGAGCCTTAAGTGTTGTATTTAACTATACAATTAAACAAATGCTTTGTAATCAACAATAAAAATTAATAACTATAACTTATTTTATTTATTAGGTAAATGAGTACTTAGTCAAAGTAAACACATTAGTATTTTTTTATATTCTTGTGGTAGCCTAAATCTGAAGCAAAACATAACAAAAATTATAATAACATAAACGTATCTTGTAAAATAAAACTTTTGATAGCTATAACTTTATCTTACAAATTTTGAAAACCATTGAAGAATAATTAAAAATAATTCTAGAAAGTCTATCCAAATAATATAGTATTATTGTGTTAACAAGAAATACAGTATTTAACTTCTCCATAATAGCTGAATTTTCAGAATGATGGTATGATACTTGTTAATTTCTAAAAGCTTTGTAATTCTGTAACCAAATTTTCAGTATGTTTCACATAAAAGAAGACTTCCACTGTAATAATATAGTATTTTGGGTTAATCGGTATTGACCGTATAGTTCTAAATTAACGTAAAACAATGTTCATATATTCTGTAAAGGATTAGCTCAGTCAGGTTATAATCCAGCAACTTCTAAGCTTATGTATATATCTTTATTTCGATCAGCAATGTGATTGATATGAAAATAGAAACTGTTAAAAAAATTCCAAATTTTTAAATTTATATTAAATAGTTATTATTATAAATACTCATATTTAAGAAAAGAAGATTACAGCATTGGCAAACAAATTTTCTTTAAAAAGTTGTTACTTGTACAGTAATACTGCTTGCATTTTCACTTATTTTAGACATCTACAAAATAGAAAATACCATTCTCATGAGAATTTAAACTTCAAAACAATAAAAAATTGATTCTGTAACAAGTCTATGTATAAGAATTGCAGTTGTGCTAAATCATACTAACTTTAGCAAAAACAAATCTCTGAAGTTCAGACACATTGTTAGTGTCTGGAAAAAGCCAAGGCAAGAAAAGTTACCATGGCAGCATTTAATTGATGTCCATATTGTTGTATCAGCTTAAAAATATTTGGCTGATGGCTACAGCCTTAACTGGATTGCTGAAGACTCCAGTTGTTTTAATTTCAGAAAAACTTTTATGGTAATCAATTGGATAAAAGCACTAACATCTAATCTTTTGTTTTGATACAATATAGTAGTGTAACAACACTTGGCTGTGTTTTTATTAATTTCTGAAAAAATTGAGTAGAGTTAACCCCTAAATCTACAGTTTTTAATTTCTCAAAAAAAAAATCTCCCATAGATCAACACCTGCTTATTTGTAGTGGATGATGTCAGTTGTCTTCCCTCTAGTCATCAATTCAAAATTAGTTAGTGTCAGATAGCTTTAGTAGCTGTACAATAACAAAGACAGTGCATGTAAGTTTAGTGGCAATGGAAATCGAACAAGTGAACCTCAAATCACGAGACACCTCCCATTATGTAGTTTTGTGATTAAAAACAGACAAACATAATGACAGTATTTCAATTATTTGGGTAATTGGAAACACAAATTTCAGTTAGTTGGTTATTTTTTGTATTAATCATAATTTTGATTAATCAATTAATTTATGAGACACTAATCAATGTAATCACTGCTCACAGGTAATTAATTATATTGCCCAGTTCTAGTCACGTCCTTGTATGATTACAATGAGTCGTGGATTTCGTTTGTTTTTGGAAGAGAACAATTCTTCAAACCTAGTTCTTCAATTCTCTGTGTTGCAGATAATGCTCCTTGTTATATGAAACTAAGTTCATGAACTATTAAAAGGAATAAAAAATCTTTATAAGTCTTGTAGAAACAAAAAGCAATATATCTTTCTCATGTTTTTTTCTACAGATGCAACTAAATAGGTAACCATAAAATTTAAACTTCCATTCTTAGCTAAAAAAATTGTTTTTGAAGTCATTTTTACATTGAATGTTTATATAAAAAAAAAAATTAAGCGAAACAAAGTTATTCATCAGTATCGTGGCAATGTAAAAGTAGCATCTAGACTATGTTTTTTAAAGTTATCTTTAAACAATTTTGTTGTAGAAATATACTTTCCAATTTTCTCTGTTATATATTTTTACACCTACCATTTCATTTGCAAATAATATGTCTACAAATGGTAGAACTTTCATCAAAGGTTCTTTGAAGGAGTGACATATGAATGGAGCAGCAAGATTTATGGCAAAAATTTTGTTGTAGAGATTTGCATGTTTTCCCACCTCTAAAAAAGAATCCAAAGCAGAAGTAAGGAAAAAACCCTGTAAAAAGACAACAAAAAATTAAACTTTGAAACAGAAGAACACAAATAACCTGGTATTTCAAAACAACAATGTACAGCATTTAGAACTATCAATGGATTGGGTAAATAGTATGATGTTCATTATTAAGTGTATATTATTTGCATCTAATAATGAACACTGTATAGAGAAATTCCAAAAGCACAGTGTTTAAAAGTTTATCACATAATTCTATTTTTATAATTTGATTATTCTAGCTATATGAAGGGAACAAAATTATCATGCAAAAGGTATTTTTTTCTAAGATATATCACTGACAGAGGAAAGCCTACAAATATCAAAAAGATTATTAAAAAAGTAACCTTTGGATGATTTGTGGAACTATTGGTGGAATTTCTTGAAAGCATTATATTCTTTTAAAGTGAAAATCAAAATTTGACAGCTGAATAGAAGTTTTATCTGTTACTCTACTACTGTGTACTTTAGTTTAATATATGTTCACCTAAAAGTGTTTACTGAAACCTGCTTCAAAATGAGTTAAGATTCTAATATGTTAACACTTTGCTGAAACCCAATAACATTTAAGTCAACAGCCTATATCATGGCATGACTATGTTAATAAAAGCAGTATCACATAACAAATGATTTAATAATCATCATAGATATATTTATAAAAATATATACCACACTGCTTATTTCTTATCATCATTATCAATCAAACTTCACTCAATAATCAACTGTCTTCGTAATAGGTGTAGTTGAATAAATAACACTCGCTGATATCAATCAAACTTACTGAAATGTAAAAATATTTAGCCTTTTCCATCAGAGCTCTATTTTCAGGCTTTTCCAAATGGGCATTAGTGAACATTTTACAAGCTCCAAGTGTTGTACACAGAGACCTGTAATGTACAGTTTGTTCAACCATGATATTATTGTTTGGTTATATATTGCTTTAGAAGCAGTTTATATATATATATATTATCTTAATGCTAGAATTTTCAGGTATAGACTAATTGAAATTATGTTAAACAAAAAAAAGCTTATTACAAAAAAATGATAGATTCTATCAGATTACTAGTGCTACTAAATACTTAATTATCACTATCAGATTGCCAGGTGGTTAGGGCACTCAACTCACAATCTGCGTGTCACTGGGTTCGAATCCCAGTCCCACCAAACATGCTTGCCCTTTCAGCTGTGGGGGTGTTATAATGTGATGGTCAATCCCACTATTCGTTGGTATAAAAGTAGCCCAAGAGTTGGTGGTGGGTGGTGATGACTACCTGCCTTCCCTCTAGTCTTACACTGCTAAATTAGGGATGGCTAGCACAGATAGCCCTTGTGTAGCTTTGCGCAAAATTTAAAAACAAACAAAACACTATCAGATCTGGGAATACTGCTTTTTGCCCCCCCCCCTACACACACACACACATACAAATCCCTAAGATTTTGCATGTAATTATCTAAATACAAGTACAGAAACTGTCTTTCTTTTTCATTTGTCCATCTCTATTAGCTGAAGGTCATAAGTAGGCCTTGTTTTTCAATTCAAATACTTTCTAATGTGCTACAATTAGATTATATATCCACTAATTCATATTTATATATATTGTAAAGTTGTTACCTAATCTCGATAACTCAGTGTTACATATTACAATTTTGAATGGTCTGAAATTGAGCTAAATGATACTTTAAATTTAGTAGTTACATGGTGAGTACGTGCAAAATTTCACCCTGGTGGCTTGTGCAAATAGCCCTTGTGCTAATATCCAAAACAAACAATAATGATTACAGTCTTTGATATAATACAATTAATAAAACTTCAGGAATAATCTAATTATTAAAACATTAAAAATCACTTCACTAGTAGCATTATAAAAATTAATTGCTAGTCTTATATATCATATTATCACTAAACTCTTTAAAACAATTGAATTACAAATACAACAGACACCACCTGACTAATAAGTTACTTGACAGCAATGTTGGAATATATATAATAACTAGAATTTTAAAATAACATAATTACTGTAACCTTAAAATAATCTAATTGCCAAAACATTAATAATTTTCTAAAGTCAATAAAAAATCTAATCCTCTATTTTTTTTCATCATAACCATTGTAATAGGAAGCAATTTTTGAGTGGTTAGACCATTTCCACAGCTAAACAAAGTGTGAAAAGCACACTACTAGCATGCCCCTTAGAAAAGTTTTGAAAATCTAATACTATGTGATTAAATTTTGAAGTATTTTACCTAAAAAAACTGCCATACACACAACATAATGTATTGAATTAAAAGAAGCAAGTTTTAATACATAAGTTGTAGCTATACATGCCATGAAAAAGAAAGTGGTCAAGCCATGGCCTGACTGCTTCCTATGGCCTGATAATTCAGTTTTTTGAATTTTCATTTTGGTTTTAGTGTGTAAGTACAAAATGTAAACTAACTCCACTAAATACAACAAAGATACTGAGCTTAATTAGCAGTCACGTATATGAACAATCAAACCTGTTTGATCCTTTCGCAGTGACAATTACAGCACATGTTCCTGTTGCTTCTAAGTCACTAATTTGGAAATGAACATTTACTCCAACTTCTTTTGCCTTTTCTGTGAGGATCTTCCCAAATTTGTCATTTCCAATACATCCAAGGAAAGTGGTAATATAAGGTTTCTGAAGTATCCACTAATTACAGAAAATAAATTCATAGTATGAGAAACTGATATTTATTTTGAAATTGGTTTTTCAAAGAATTACTATATATTTAAAAATATGGTTTGTACAAATAAAACATTGTTCAACATCTATTAATTACAAGAAGAACTTAAAACAACTCTGTTAGATGTTTATTTGCTCATAAGTAACTTCCCATAATACATAAAAAAAACAACTTTCTGTTATATTATGTAAGTTATAAATAACCACCTTAACAATGGTACCTGTGCCACACGCATTGTATTTTGTGTTGCTCCCCCTGGGATGAACTGAACCTGATATTTGGTGACCATTTCCTGGTATCTGAAAAAAAAAATTGCATTTTGAAGTCATTAAACTCCATTAAAAGCATATTTGTGAATGATATGAGTCACATATAATGTGTATACTTTGTTAATAATTAAGAATTGTTTATGATTAGGTATGTCTCAATATAATTTAAATAATCTATAATGTGTAATTCACAGTAACACTGATCATTAAAAATAAGTTCCAAAATTCAGTCACATGAAATTTATTTATCCTTAAAAAATGAACCAGCTTATCTGTTTTTACTACATATATTTGAAGCAACTAATAAGGAATATATAAATATATATACAATTCTATAATTCAAATAATATTGTAAAATAAAAAAATAGAGCTCTCTGAGAATCAACTGGTTTCATAAAAATAATAATAACAAAGTATGCATTATGAAAATTTGTCAGAAGAAGGCACACCTGTCAGTTTTTCCTCAGGAAAATAAATCATTCTTAATTCTCTGGCTTGATCACGTGCTTTGAAAAAATAGTTCAGAGCCACAACTGACATAGTTTTAATCAGTACTTTACTTTTAAGAAAAACTGAGCATTTATTTATATTAGAATTAATTTTTGCAAGTTTCCTGTAATAAACAAATAATTATTTATGAAATGGCTTGTGTAAGATTAAAAATATTTGAATGAGTTTATATCTTAACCAATATTCACAGAAACTATGACTTCAATCACATGTACAAAACACAACAAATATTGTAAACAGGTTTTAATAAGTTCATAACAAACTAATATTTGCAATGAATTTATAAGTGCAATTTTTATACACTCAAAAGATAACATTTTAAATTAATTCTCAACAATAAGATTTTGTTACATAAATGATATTCATGATAAATTTATAAATTCAACCTATGTAAAGTTGATATTCTGTAGAGATGTTCAACAATAAGAAAGAATCTCACATGGATATGTGTCTTTCATCTGCACGAATAGCATCATTGGGATTTAAATTATATCTGAAAATTAAAAACAGTTTTAAAGGTTGAAATACAATGGTTTTTCTACAGTAGTCAAATTCTTTTTAAAATAAAATAAATTCTAGACCTACAAATTATTTTTTTACTTTAAGTAACAAAAACAAACCAAATAATTTCGTAAAATTACAACTAACAAAAATTGTCCTCTTTTTAGTTTAAATAAACAAAACTAGACTATCAATGCTTGTTGTGAAAGAAAACTTTCAACTTTAAAAATAATGATGAAACTTTAATAGTTAAATCTCTTCATTATGGCTTATGGAGCAATAGAAAAATTGAATATTTATTGGTAAAAGGACCACTTTTATGTTCACTTTATTTTGATTAACCTAATATTACAAAGCAGAAACAGATACTAAGTTTTCAGAAGATGTTCAAGTAAAATGTAGAAGAGTTTATGGTTTCTAAAGTTCTACTGATTGAATATATAAAGCAATGTAAACTCATTATGTGAAATATTCTTCCTTGTTAAAGAAAATGACATCATACTTTGTTCTTACTGCATCCTCTGTTATAAAACTGGTAAGAAATAGTTTTAACATTAAATGTTAAGACATACTTTATATTTTTAACATCTACCATCACCATCAAGCTAATACTGTGATGGCTTTTTATTTTAGTGAAAATTAGAGTAATTTTAGTTTATCCTTACTTCTTAAGAAATGCTTCATCTGTGTGGGCTAAAATATCTAATAATGGATCTCCCATGCCAAACAGAAGCCCTTCCCTAAAACAAAATAAAATCAATATATGAGAAAGGAAACCAAAACTTTAAGAGATAATAACAATAAGTGCTGGTATAATTTTGTTTATTAACCAACTTTTCACATTCTCCTTCTAAAGCAATTTACCTAAATTAAAGCTTTGTTGGTTAACCATGTCCCATCACCTAGCTGGGCTCTTGAGAGATGATACAGCTTAAAATTGTAGTACATGATAACTTGATATGGATAACAACTTCCCCATTTGTATTACTTTGTTTTAAGTTTTAACTTAAATATAAGGATGTGGATAAAGAAAAAAAAATTTCTTGCTAAATAAATTACATCAGTAATGTAGAAGCTTAATTTGTAGAATAAAAAGAACAGCATTGGTTATAATTTATATACTCGTGCATATCGTTTTTCTTACGCAAGGGCATTCCTTGTATAGAGTAACAAAATTAAAACTACAGAGAAAGCTTATAATAAGAAATGATGATTAATTGAAATCTGCGATATTTATTTATTTGTTTTACTTTTAGACACACACATAACTTTACACAATTAACCTTATTAATATTGCATATTTTGAATGAAAAGTACAGAATACATACGCAGGAAAATATACACACCTCAGGCTCAACTCATCATCATCTCCGACCATTCTTTCTGGTTATGAATTCTCAAATCACAAGGTCGAAACAAAACTCTTCAAGAAAAACATATTCCCTCCATCAGTCACGAGATTGGCAAGACTCATTATGTAAATCGAAGGGAAAACCAGTTTTCCAAACATGTTCACGAAGATCTTATCTACATCAGAACTTTGACCCAAAACAACAACAGATCTTATGGCAACGAATTATCCTGGATATAAGTAAACCCCGTTACCGTGTTCCTGCACCTCTGTTTTTACAAAAACTGGTCAAATAAATTCATATTTAAAGCTAGTATTGACCTTTAAAAAAAGTATCTTCTTCGAAATGGTAGGCCATGGCCAAAATAAACATGCATAATATCCCCTCAAAAAAGCCTACCAGCTGCTGGGAGGAGCACGAGAAAGGATGTTACTAAATGCGTCACGTGATTCTTTTCACAGTTAAAGTTCTTGTATAATGTTTCACCGAACACATACAAATACTACTTTATAAGGAAGGATCAACAAGTCACGAAATACATATATCTGTTTATGAGTTACCAACTTTATTTAACCATATATCAACTAACACTATCTAAGTAGAATTATGCAAAATATGTCTGCGCGTTACATAAATAACACATAGTGTTGAATTTACAAAGAACAAATTTTACAGACTCCTGTAGCCGAAATATTAAGAAAAGATATGTAGCACAGAAAATTAATTAAATCCCTTTAGAGATAACCACGAATCTGTTTAGAGATCTGTGACGTGCAAGAAGTGATATCGTTCTATCAAGAAAAGATTAACAGATTAGTTATTAATGTCTGTTTTATAATTTTGACGCAAGGCGAAACAACATTGTATTTATAATCACATAACACTAACCCAGCTAACACACAACGTTGCTGAATAGTTGTGCATTGGTAAAATCCACAACGCCATGCATTATATGTTGTGACAACGTTTGTTTGTTTATTTGAAGTTAAGCACAATGGGCTATCTGTGCTCTGCCCACCACGAGATCGAAACCCGGTTTCTAGCGTTGTAAGTCCGCAGACATGCCGCTGTGCCATTGGGGGCAACTCACTATGACAACATTATGGCACTGTTAGACGTTAATGGTGAATATATATATATTAATGAAATAAAAAATTTATAAAAATTACAATAACAGCTTACGTGTTTTAAAATACTGAACAGCATTATTTGATGTAATTTTTGTATGTTTTACGACAGTGGAAGTCACGTGACTCTGGTAACACGTAATGAGTATCTAGAACGTTCGTGAAGGCTCGAATGTTTACCAGCCGCCCTCTATTTCATATATATAAGACCGGCGAGAAGTGACGGGATAGATAGATAGATAGATAGATATATAATTGCAGAGATAGAGATGGACAATTGAGTCAAGCACGGTAGTAAGTAAAGTGCGTGAATCTTTCGTTGTGAATTATAGCGTGTGTTTAAGTTAAAGTGACTGTGGAAATTAAGTGTATTGCAAAGTTGTATTGAGAAAGAATAAACTAGTTTTATTTAATAAAGGACTTGTATTGCTGAAGTTCCTCAGGAAGAATTTTTACAAACGAACAAAGACGTAGCAAATTGGTGTCAGAGAGTGGGACAAAAAAATGGAAAAGAGAAGCGGCAAATCAAACTACAGCTTAACAGATTTAATGGCAGCAAAAGAAACAAAAAGAACGAGAAAAGAAACAAGAAGAGAGATTACAGTGGTGGCAACTGGAACAAGAAAGGAAACAGGAAGAAAGTCAGTAGCAACTACAAGAAAGTCAACAACAGTGGCAAGAAGTACAATTGGAAAACATTTGCAAATTTCAATGTGAATTAAATACATTAAAGGATGATTTACTGTCTTTTACATAAGGAGGATATATTAGCCATCACCCTCAGACAATAGGAAGTCCCTTCCAGACTGTGCAGCTAAAACCTAATGCAGACATCTACAGTCCTGTTAGAAGTCACATTCAAGACATGAGTGTCAGCAATAGGGGTGGTCTAGTACGAAGGAAGCCACAGGAATTCGACGGGAAGGCACCATGGGAAGCATATAGAGCACAATTTGTGCTCCTGGCAGAAATAGATGGACAGAGGAGCAGAAAGCAGTGCACCTGGCAACAAGCTTGAAGGGACAACCACTGGAAATACTTGGACAGTTGTGAGCAGATGACAGGCACAACTATAGAGCACTTGTAGCTGCTCTAGAAATTAGGTATGGAACTCAAAATCAGTCTGAAGTCTACAGAGCTAGGTTTAGGACAAGAGTCCATGCTAAAGGGGAGAGCCTGCAAGAGCTGGCACAGAATTTGGAAAGTATGGCACACAAGGCCAACCCAACTGCACCACCTGATCTCCTCAAGCTGTTGCTGAGGGATCAGTTCGTAGATGCCTTGGACAGTCCACAACTGAAGATACAAGTGAAGCAAGCACACCTCTCTACTATGCAGGATGCAATGGCCAGAGCTCTTGTATTCGAATCCTATGTTAAGTCCAGCACAGAGGTACCAAGGTTGGTACAGTCATCTGGATTCAAGGTCAGAAAAGGTCAGCTTTCAGAGAGGTTTGAGGAACTTTGCTGGCACTGTAACAAACCTGGGCACAAGAAAGCTCAATGCTGGCAACTTCAACACAGGGAAGATGCCACGGCAGGAAAGGCTGCTGCGGAAAGGAAAGGTTGTTGGAACTGTGGAGAGCAAGGACATATGAGGAGCCAGTGTAAGAAGAATACCACCAATAAGTCAGCTTCAGGAAACCAGTAGTGGTTGGTGCTGAGGGACGCCCACCAAACCCCATTGTGAAAGTCCCAACAGCTAAGTGTAAAATGGCAAGTACACATAGTGTCTACGTGACAGGAAAGCTGGATGGCCAAAGGTGCAACTTTGTCATAGATTCTGCATCTCAGCAAACCCTTGTGAGTATCAAGTTGCTGGATCACAAAAGCGTACCAGAAGCTGTACAGAAGCTCTGTGGTGTGACAGGACATTCTGCAAGGTTGTGGGGACCAGTGTGGGTAACTATTGAGCTCATGGGCATGAAGAACAGACAGAAAGTATACTTGGCTGACATTGAAGACCAATGCATATTAGGATTGGACTATTTACTACCGAAGAAGTGTGTAGTTAACTTCGATAAAATGACATTTGGAAACAACAAAAGCCAGATTCCAGTAAGTGTTGCTGCATCCGTTGATCTGCATGTCACAGTACTTAAGTCAACTACAATACCCCTATGTCAGAGAAGATAACTTGGGGTAGGATAAAGGAACATTCCCATGGAAGCCCAGTGCTTGTAGAAGCAGTGGAAGACCCATCCAGGCCAGCGGATGTGAATATTGGAAGGTCACTTGTGGCAGGTCA